TGTTACTGTAATAGAGCCTATTATTAAATATTGGAATGGTACCTTATAGATTTATAACCAGGTAGCAGAGCAGCTTAGCTCAGTTGCCTAAACTGGTGGTAGCCTGTGCGCGCTAAAACGTGGGGATCGCTAGGTCTCCGATTCAAATAAAATCAAACCATTCTTTATTCATCACTCAAAATGGGTTGAATTTTATAAAAGTAAAGGGTTCAAGCAGAAAAATCTAAACAATCAACATTTCAACAAACAGACCCACATCACAATAACAGCAAAATGAAACAGGTTTAAAGGGCAAAAAGGCAACCAATATTGAATTATTATTATTAATTATTATTATTATTATTATTATTATTATTATTATTATTATTATTATTATTGTAATTATAATTATTGTAGTGAGATTATTCTATCGTTCCTGTTATAGCTACTCATTTTTAAGGTTTAATTTCAGCACTAGAGATATTCAGAGTACCCAGAGAGCATCTAAGCCCAAAATTTTTCGGGGCCCTTGGACGGGCCCTCGACTCCAACTCCAACTTGGCATGTATTCTATATTCCAACATTATTGAGTAGTTGGATTCTTTCTTCCATAGATCGATGAACTGAATAGGCCTGAAGAATACACTTTCGTACATAATTATTACGACGTCGAGCCAAAACAGTGTTTCTAATGTATTTAATTGAATGTTAGTTGGGCTAAGCCTATATATATAACAGGCCTACACATACTTTATAAACATAAATTAACCTAATTTTCTGATAAACAAATTAAATAACATTAATTAAATGAAATATATTTAATGATATAGGCGTATTTGCTACCAACCGTAACACACAATTTGAAATAAAAGTAGGCGTATGATGACATAATTAATGTCGAAATATTGAATCCCAACACGATGGCGTGTATTTCAATACTTGGAGTATGTATTATACTTTCTTATCTGCGATTAATCAGTGGACCTTTCAGTAGTAGGCGTATCGTAGAAGAGAATCACTAATGGGCATTGACCTCCGAAGTACTGCAGAAGTACAGAAATAATAGAGTGTTTTTTTGTGGATGAAATATGGGTATATAAAACGACTAGGAAACAGGTGTGATATCAAAATTCCAGAAGAGGAAGCATGTTATAAACATATTCTGTTTTCTTTCCTGTATTTCTTATGTAAAACCGGATTTAAACTTTCAAAACGTTTCTACAATGTGTATTTAGGCTTCATCAATACGGTATTGCGAATGCATCAATAGTCAATCAGTCAATTGATTGAATAACGCTTTTGTATCATCGGCATACCTTTTTAGCGTAACCTAACAATGACTAGACAATAATTAATTGATATAGAGAAAACACAAAATAAAAATAAAAAAATATGTTCTCTCTTATAAATATAATGAAACTAACCTGATGGAAAAAAAATCAATAGGAAAACTAAGAGGAACAATGCATCTAAAAAATGGGGGGGAATAGCCTGGGCCGGGAATAACTCTCCAGGTAGAAAAAAAAATCAGTGGGGAAAATTAGCAGGTGGCAAGTAGCTACCGTAATAGTGCTATATTCTGTAAAGTAAAGCCTCAAACCACCTCGATTTTGAGTCTACTAAATTTAAAAATCTTCCAAGGCTTTTGCAGATATAGCCAGAACTTAATATTTGGAGTTTTTTGATAGCAGATTATATTTTTTTAGATTATAGTGAGTTAACCCGACTCAAAGACAAGCTTGCGTACAAAAAACATGCACATTCATCTTCTATACACAATTAAAAATCAAAATTTAAAAGTAGATAGACATTTTGAAAACAGGAACAAAACAAAAAAAGAAAAAAAAAATTCTCCCATATTACAGAAACTTCTTTGTTGAAACTAATACAGAAACAAATTCTTTTGTATTAAAAATATTTTTTTTTAAATGAATTAAAAAATATTAGAACATTCAAGATTAAATAAAATCAAAATAACAAGCTTCTTTTCTTTTAACTTTTGGCAGTTAATA